CTTTCATGCCTAAGGCGGGACTAGAACTCCCCGTCTCCTGGTCATTGGTTCAAAGTCACCCAGTCGCCTTTCATGCCTAAGGCGGAACTAGAACTCACTGTTTCCTAGTGATTATTTCCAAGTCACTCAGTTGACTTTCGTCCCTAAGGCAGGACTAGAACTCCCCATCTCCTGGTCATTGGCCCAAAGTCACCAGCTGGCTTTCATGCCTAAGGCGGGACTAGGACTCCCTGTTTCCTGGTAATTGGCCCACCCAGTCGTCTTTCATGCCTAAGGCGGGACTAGAACTCCGTTTCCTAGTGATTGGTTCAAAGTCACCCATTTGCCTTTCATGCCTAAGGCGGGACTAGAATTCCCTGTTTCCTGGTAATTGGCCCACCCAGTCGCCTTTCATAACAAAGGCAGGACTAGAACTCACCGTTTCCTGGTGATTGGTTGAAAGTCATCCAGTCGCCTTTTATGCCTAAGGCGGGACTAGAACTCACCGTCTCCTGGTGATTGGTTGAAAGTCACCCAGTCGCCTTTCATGCCAAAGGCGGGACTAGAACTCACCGTCTCCCAGTGATTGGCCCAAAGTCACCCAGTCGCCTTTCACGCCTAAGGCGGGACTAGAACTCACCGTCTCCCGGTGATTGGCCCAAAGTCCCCCCAACCAGCCTTCATAGTTTGAAACACATGCAATCCTTCCTCTTCCTACTTAGCCTTTTCTGGCACTGGGTTCAAATTCCTACCCACCCACCCGACCCCTGTATATGAAGGGCTGATCTTGGGGGCAACCCCCTGAGCCCATCTTTTGCCCAGTTCAGTCCCCCAAACCCATATCCAAACCTTAAGGAGGGCAGATCTTGCAGGACCCCAGTCCCCACTGGGGAGATGGAAAGGGCACCACGAGGAGATTGCTTCCCATAAGCTGAGCAATGGAAGGGGGCAATTGAAGCTCCAGATTCCCCACACCCACCCACAGCAGCCCCCTACCCAACATCCAAACCTGGAGGTGGGCAGATCCTGCCGGATCCTCCCCTCCTGCATGACCCCCACTGGGGAAGTGGAAAGGGCATCACGAGGTGATCACTTCCCAGCAAGACTTGCAAGGGGGGAATCTAAAAATGGGAGGGGTCCAGACCCCCTAGGCCAGGCCAGGTCAGGCCAACCCAGACCCCAACTCAAGAACCAAATTTTGAGGGGGTAGATCTTGCAGAACTCTCTCCCTGTCACTGCCATTGGGCAGGTGGAAAAGGCACCACCAGGTGATCCGTCCCCTCGTATCCAAGGTCCGAACTTTGGGGTGGGTAGACCTTGCAGGACAACCCCCCCCCACCATCATCCCCACTGGGCAGGTAGAAAGGGCACCACCAGGTGATCCCTTCCCAGCAAATGAGCAGAGGCATGGTCCAATCCCTCCAGGGTGGGGGGAGGTCCATGCCCCTTCCCGGCTAGAAGACATCCTCCCCTCCCAGGGGGCCCCGATGGGGGGTCCTATCTTTCCCCTCCACCTGCCCAAGGGGCTCGTCCTCCCCCCCTCCAGCCCCGCCCGGACTGCGGCAAGCCCCCCCCACACCCCTCCCTCCCTCCCCTCCCTCCGCTGACCTGGGCGGGGCTCCACTCGGCCATGGCCCGGCGAGGACCGGTCAGTAAGCGAGGCGAGGAACGGGTGGGGGGGAGACGAACGGGCGCGGCAAGGAGAGGAGAGGAGAGGAGAGGAGCGAGCGGGGAGAGCGGCGGGACGAAGCGGGTCCAGGAAGCCGAGGGGGCCGCAAGGAGCCGCGGCGCCTTTCTTCTCTGCAGCGACGCCGGGCGTGCGGAGGTCGGCATAGCAGCCTCTCGGTCGGAAGAAGGGGAGGGGGAGAGAGGAGAAAAGGAGGGGGGCGTCGCGGTTTCCCGCTTTTGGGGTCCCCCTCCGGCCGTCAATTTGGAGGGGTCCACTTTTGGGATCCCCGCTTTTCGAGGTCCTTTTGGGGGGTCCCCACTATTGGGGGCCTCTTTGGGGAGTCTCCCTTTTGGGGTCTCGGGTGGAGGGGCCGCCACTTTTTAAGGGGTCCCGATTCTGAGTCCTCCTCTTTCGGGGTCCCCCTCCGGGCGTCAATTTGGGGGATTCCCCACTTCCGGGTCTCCACTTTTGGCGTCCCCGCTTTTATGGTCACTTTGGGGAGCCTCACTTTGGGGGTCTCCCCTATATGCGGCCTCCCCTCGAGTCCCCCCTTTTAGGCTCCCCTCTTTTGAGGTCTCAATTTTGGGGTCCCCGCTTCGGAGTCCCTTTTGAGGTATCCCCTTTGGGCGTCTCTTTTGGGGTCCCCACATTTGGCTCTCCAGTTTTGGGTCCCCACTTCTGGGATCAATTTTGAGGTCCCTATTTCTGACTCCACCACGTTTGGGTAGGGGAGGGGGGAGAGGAGGGGCAGGGAGGGAGGGGGCGTCTCCCGCCTCCCCTCCTCTCCCGCCCGCTCCCCTGTCCCCCCCCTCCCTCCTCCCTCCCCATTCCAGCCCCCTCCCTCGCCCCGCCCCCGAAAGGATTCCGTTGCGTCGGTTGGAGCTGTCGGAGAGACCACACCGCCCCCTGACGGCCGGAATCTGCAGCTCCAGGCGCGGTGGATTTTTTTGGGGAGTGGGGGAATATTCCCCCCAACCGCCCAGGTTGGGAAAGCGGGAAAGGAGCAAAGGGGGGAGGGGGGGGGAGGGAGGGAGGGAGGCAGCCCCTCCAATTGGGGATGCCCCCCGCAAAGGAGTTGGGGAAGGGGTTCATCTGGCTGCCCCACTCGACATTTGGAAGGTGACTATGATGAGGGGGTTCTGGGAGTGGAAGCCCCCCCCTTAAAACCTGAGGGGATTCTGGGAGTGGAAGCCCCCCCCTTAAAACATGAGGGGATTCTGGGAGTGGAAGCCCCGCCCTTAAAACATGAGGGGATTCTGGGAGTGGAAGCCCCCCCCTTAAAACATGAGGGGATTCTGGTAGTGGAAACGCCCCCTTAAAATATGAGGGGGTTCTGGGAGTGGAAGCCCCCCCCTTAAAAACATGAGGGGATTCTAGTAGTGGAAGCCCCCCCCCTTAAATCTCAAATCTTTGCTTCGTATCCTCAGGTTCTGCAGCCTCCCCAGCAGCCGCACCCCATTGCCAGGAAAAGGGCCCACGGGACTTGGTCAGCATTTTCCTCCCCCTCCCTCCCTCCCTCCTATCCACCCACCCACCCGAGGAGGCACCGCCGGCTTCCTGAATGAACCATTGTTTGCCTGGCCCGCCTCTCTGGGCGGGCACCCCATCCAATCCCGGGCAGGGAGAGAGGCTCCTGAGACCGGGCAGCCACCAATCGGTGACGGGGATATAGCCAGGCACAGGCTGGGCAGGGCGAGGGGAGGGGAAGGGTCTTCGAGGGGCAGGCCGGGCGACGGGGGCTGAGCCTCTTCCCTTTGGCCTCTCTGCCCTGTTCTTCCAGGCCAAAGGGGGCATTTTGGGGAGGGGGGGGTGTCTCTTTGCCTCCTCCAGCATCCTTTCTCCGCCTGCATCCCTCCCGCATCCTCCAAAGGGACCCATCCGTCGCCCTGAGCAACCGGCTGGAGAGGTGGGAGGGGGGGGAGAGAAGAACCAGGCCAACGACCACCAAACCCCTCGTCCCCAGCCACAGAGACTTGGGGCGAAGCTCAGGTGAGGTCGCCCCTCCGCATCCACCTGGGGAATAGCTGGAGATGGGCGAGGGAGCATGTGCAGAGGGCTTTTCTGCCACCCCCACCCCCCCACCCTGACAGAAATGGTGTAGGGTCTCCCGCTTGGGCGTGGGGGGGGGTTGGACTAGATGACCTACAAGGTCCCTTCCAACTCTGATGATCTGTTATCTGATTCCCAAGCCCTCCCCCATCCTGGCATCCAGCCCGTGAAGGGGAGGGAGGAGGAAACGGGGAACGGCCTGGCTTGGGAAGATGGCGGGGTTGTGGGGGGGGGAGGAATTGCTCCAACAAGGGAGGAGGTCGGTCAGGACAAAATGTCAGGAAGGGTTCGAGGGTCGCCTGCTTGAGTGAGGGTGGCGGGTGGGAAGGGTGGGTGGACTGGATGACCTCCGAGGTCCCTTCCAATCTTGTTCTGGAAGGGTCTCCTGCTTCAGTAGGGGGTGTGGACTGGATGACCTCTAAAGACCCAACTCTGTTATTCCGGAAGCGGAGGGGACTTCTGGGAGAGCCAAGACACAGTGCCCATCGTCCCCAGACAGTCCAGTGGGATGAAGTCTTGTCTCCTGGAACAATAATGTCTGCTAACTTAAATTCCCCCAGCCGGCATCCTTTAAGAGGGGAGGACTCCAACTCCCAGAATTCCAAGCTTTTTCCTATTGGGTTTCCCCCGAACTTTGAATCATCACTAAACGAATTCTTATAAGCTGAGGACTACATGCATAATTTTTTTTTAATATGCCTATTTGTGCACCACCCAGAGTCCCTCAGTGAGGCGGGGCATCCCTTAACAAGACAAACCAATACATATATACGGGCAGTCCAGGACTTACGACGATTTGCTTAGTGACCATTCGAAGTTCCAACCGCCTTGGGAAAAAAAAGGGACTTACGACTGTTTTTCACCCTTGTGACCGTTGCGGCGTCCTCCCAGCCCTGATTCGAAATTTCAGATGCTCGACGGCAACCGACTCATACTTACGACGGTCCAAGCAGGGAGGGGGTCACGCGATCCCCTTTTGCGACCTCCCGAACAGCAACGCCAACGGGGAAGCTGGATTCGCTTCCCTGCCGCGTTCCTCGCTAAACAATGGCGGCGATTCGCTTAACGATGGTGGTTGTAAAAACGGGACAAAACTCAGGAGACGCAAGCCTCACCGAACATCCGGAAATTGTGGGGCCGCAATGGCAGTTGTAAGGCGAGAGAGAGAGAGAGAAAGAGAGAGAGAGAGAGAGAGACACCCGTCCCTTCTGCCAATATTTAGGTCCAAAACTGAGGGGTGTCCTTCGGTTCCTCGCAGATCCGACTGGTTTCAGAGGAACTCCCGGCATCCTGGCTAATTTTGGCGATACCTCCAAGGAGGCTGTGAGGATGATGAAGGAGATGGAACAGGACGTGGAGAACTGCGGCTATCCAGACGTCGGTGGGTCTCTGAGCTGTTTGGACTCATCAAATGTCTTCTTCCTTTTTTGTCGTTTCGCAAAAATTTTTTTTACAAGACCGACCAATCGAAAAGATATGCGTTGGGTGGAGAAACACGGTGTAATCTGGAGGGAAGAATGGGTTGGGAGCTTGGGGTTGAACCATGGGCACCCTCTGAGCTTGGAGGTGTTCTTGTGGACATTTCATGGCCCTACTAGGAAACATCATCCACGCTAGAAAGGAGAGGGGGTTGCAGGGAGGGAGGAACGGAAGGGAGGGAAAGAAAAGTAAGTAGATAGGAAGAAAGGAAAGACAAATGAAGGGAGGAAAGGTAAGGGAGGAAGGAAGGAAGGAAGGAAGGAAGGAAGGAAGGAAGGAAGGAAAGACAAATGAAGGAAGGGAGGGAGGAACGAAGGAAAAGTAGGTAGGTAGGAAGAGCCTGTTCCCAGTGTGCAGAGCCGCCAGAAGGCAAGAAATGTTAAGACAAAAGGGCGACTCGGGAGTAAGGCTTGGAGGTGATTGGTCCCTCCCATAAGACATAAAGGAGGAGCAAAGGGACACGAGCCTTTGCAGGAAGCAACTTTGTTTGTTCTGGTCGGTTTAAACTCTGAAGTTCCGTGTTGACTTTGTGCTCCGTTTGGCTTTGTACAGCTAATTGACAATGTAGTCGTTGGCAGCATTTCAAGGGAGATAAAGGTGAGTGTTGATCAGCCTTATCCCGAAGGACTGTGGCAGAATTTCTGTTGGACTATTCACAATCGGTTTGGGACTCCTTACGGGCGGTGAATGCATCTAATTCACAGCCATTGAAATAAAAGGAGGGTTTTGGGGACTAAGCGTGTGATTCTTGGTCAGAACAAGGAAGAGGAGGGAGGGAAGAAGAAAGGAAGGGAAAGGAAAGGAAAGGAAAGGAAAGGAAAGGAAAGGAAAGGAAAGGAAAGGAAAGAAGGAAGGAACGATCCTTGGTGCTCTCTGAGCTGTTTTCTAGCATACATTTCATGACCCAACTAGGAAACATCATCAGTGCTAGAAGGGAGGGTTGAATGTGGAGAGGAGAAGGAAAGGAAGGAGGAGGAGGAGGAGGAGGTGATGAGGTCCCCGTACCCTCTGAGCTGGGTGGTTTCCTTGCAGACGTTTCATGACCCAACTAGGTAACAACATCAGGCTCTGCCCCATGCCAACTCCCAGAAGGACAGGAGATTCACTTCCTTCTGCTTTTCCTTCCCCAGAGGAGAGCTGGCAGCCGAAAATCATCAAGCAGGAGGAGGAGGAAGAAGATGGGCTGGAGATGCACCTTAACCGGCTGGAGGTTGCCACCTCCGCTGCGCAGGGTGCTACCAATGGACTCCACCAGGTTGCAGGAAAACCGAGCAGCCCTGAGCCCATTCTGCTGGGCTCCGGAGCTACCAATGAGGAGATCCTATTGGTGGACTACCATGTGAGTCCTTATGTGCGAGGGTGCCGACCCCAGCTGGGGGAGCTGCCCCACTGGTGCCTGGAATGTGGCAAAAGCTTCAGCTTGAAATCCGAGCTGGAAGTGCACCAGTCCAAGCACACCGGGCAGAATTCCTACATCTGCGGCGACTGTGGGCGGAGCTTCATGGAGCACATGGCGCTGTCCGGGCAGGGGGCCTGTGCCGCCGGACACCCCTTCAGCCCTTCGGGGAGCCGGAAAAAAGGGCCACCCTTGCCTGGCGAAGCCGGGGTTCAACGCAAGGAGCGCAAGGAGCTGTCGCTGCAGGAGAAAGTCCGCGTGCTGGAGATGCTCGAAGGGCCCAAGGTCTCGCAGAGTGAACTGGCCAAGCGCTTCGGGGTATCCCAGCCCCAAATTTGCCGCATCATCAAGAACAAAGAACGGATCCTGACCGAGTGGGGGAAAAATGCCAACCCGGGTCGCAAACGCAAACTAGAAGACAAAGGACCGGCCGGCGGTGACCGAGCATTCTTGCAGTGGTTCGAACGCAGCTGCGGACACCCATTCCCAGCTGAGAAAGTCACCCTCGGAGGCGGGGAACCGGGCATGGAGACTGCTCTCCAGTGGCCAAACAGCTCCCTGGTGGCCAAGTCGAAAACGGTTCCCAGGAGGTCCCTCCCGGAGAAGTGGAGCCGGGAAGTGTTGGAGGAAGAGGATGACGAAGATGAGAATCGCTGGGAAAGTACGACACTGCCCTGTATCCTCGGACACTACGACCTTCCAAATGTCTATGCATGTGGTGAGACGGGCATGCTCTTTCGAGCGACCCCTGATGACCTGGCAACCCAGAGAAGTGGTGGCGAAGCCAACGACCAGCTGACCGTCTTGCTCTGTGCCAACATGGATGGCTCGGAGAAAAAGGATGTGTTGATCGTGGGCAAGGCGGTTCGGCCATTTGGGGCGCTCCGTGGATTGTCATCCGCGACCTACAAGACAAACCGCCGGGCCTGGATGACCCCGGCCATCTTTTCCGAGTGGCTTCAGAAGTTCAACGAGGAGATGAAGGAGCAGGAGAGGCGGGTGGCACTCTTTGTCACTCAGTGCAGCGTCCACCCCTACACCGAGCTCTCCAATGTCCAGATGGTCTTCATGCCACCTCACCTTGCCTGGCTGCCTCCTCTGGAGCAAGGGGTTATCCAGAATTTTAAGTGCCACTATCGGAGACGGATGCTGACCCATCTCTTGGTCAAGGACCACAGCCAAGTCACCAGCCCCACCAGCAAACTCTCCCGGTTCCTCACCCTGCTGGATGCCGTTCACCTGGTGGTCCAAGCGTGGTCAGAAGTGTGCCCTCAAACCATAGCAAACTCTTTCAAAGCGGCTGGCTTTAGTGTGAATCCCCGCCTGATGACCCCTTCGTTGGAAGTAGTGCGAGCATTGGGCTGCAAGGATCAAGACCAGTTTGAGCAGTTCGTGTTGATGGATGAAGGGTTGGAGTGTTTTGGAGACCATGAGGGTGTGGATGCGATGAAGGAGGTCCCTCCATCCCAAGAACCCATCTCGGCAAGAGCAGAAGAGGAGGAGGAGAAGGAGGAACCGGCTTTCTTCTCCTGTCCCTCCAAGACCGATGTTGTGGAAGGCTTGGCAACGCTGCGGCGTTACCTGGAGTGCCACGCGGTGTCGCCCAACATCTTCCAGACGTTCTACCAGCTGGAGGACACAATCCATGCCCTGGCTCTGTCCGACATGCAGTTAGCCAGAGCCAAACCCTGTCAAGACTGAGGCCCAACGCACACCTTGAACAGATGGAGCACTCCAGATCCTGAAATGGGTGTCCAGAAATCCATCAAGCCATGCTCTTTTTGGATTTCTGGACACCCAGTAGAGTCTCCAAAGTAGTTTTTTGGCATGTAGTATCAAGCGAGATCTTGCCGTTTTCCTCTGGAGAGTTAGTAGCATGCAGAAAATAACCAATTTCTGGACATAACTGACCACCACCTTCTCACATAGAATCTGGGGAGGGGGTGGTGGACAACAGGGGTCTTCCATTTGACCCATCCTGGCATCTGCTTATCCACCAAGGGCGAGTTTGTTCGGTATACTAGATTGTGGTTTCTAGACCATGGTTCAGCCCCTCACTGATCGTGGTTAACAGCAGATTTGTAAATGTAGAAATGTGTGGATAACAGAAAGGCCTGGGGGTTCCTGGGGGAGGGACCAAACCATGCCACACCCCCACATGCACATGATGGGAGTCAGTCCCCCACGATGGACGCAAAGGACAGCCTCTGCATTCTTCATATGAGGGGCTCGGGGCCTCTTCATGACTTGTACAGAACATCGTACGTTGGCCTGTACAGGAGATGTAGCCCTGTAGACATGATCAACGATGTTGGGGGGAACTTAAGGCTTAAAGGTTGGGGAAATGGGATGTTAGGGGGTTACAAGGCCCTGAACAGAAGGTCTTCTGATGTCCCGAAGGACGCGGTGATCAGGCACAGCAAATCAGGGCGATGGAGGTCACGTAGCGCCCGGACAGCTACAACCGACGCTGGCCCACTTTTTCTGGGGAGCTTCTGTGAGACCTCAACCTCGGGGTAGTGTTTCATCTCAAGTCCGGCTTGGCCACCAGCAGTGGACCCACATCACCCCATGAACGAGGTCTCCTCGGAGAAGGCTGCTGGATGAAACCCAGGCGCTACATCAGGACAACAGTGGCTCCGAGAGAGAACAGCTTTGGAGATTCTCAGAATTCCCCTGCTTTTGGAAAATAAGAGGGAGGGGTGTAGATGCTTAGAGCCCCTGATCCCGCTCAGTCTGGGTGTCTGAAGGACTTTGACTTCACAGATGGAAATGACCTTCTGGACCGGATGCCAATAAAGTGTTCAAAGGCTGATTTCCGTAGTGGGTGTATATGTACATCGGTGTGTTGTTTGCACGCAAAGACACAAGGGCAGCCCCATATTAATAATTGCACAACTTCGTTGCCACACTCTGGGTTGTTTTGTTCTCTTCACAGCCTCACAGCCACAACACAAATTAGTGTGATCACTGGAATTCTGACAATTTTATCTATCCACCTATGATCTCTCTAACTAATCTACTATCCACCCATCCATCCACCCAATACATCTCTCCTTTATGCGTTTGTCTCTCTGTGTCTCTATCATCTCTATCCATCATCTATCCATCTAATTCATCCTTCCTTCCATCTTTGTCTGTCTCTATCTATACCTATCGACCTACCTAAACATAAAGCTTCCTCTCACACGTGCGTGCTAGCCATTTCCGTCTCTAGGGGGCGGTGCTCATCTCTGTCACAAAGCCGAAGAGCCAGCGCTGTCCAAAGATGTCTCCGTGGCCATGTGGCCAGCATGATCAAACGTGGAAGGTGCACAGAACGTTGCTCCTTTTCCACCAAAGCGGTCCCTATTTTTCTACTTGCATTTTTACAGGCTTTCAAACTGCTAGGCGGGCAGAAACTGGGACAAGGAAGGGGAGCTCACTCTGTTACGTGGCGCTAGGGATTCGAACTGCCAATTGACAAGCTCAGCATCTTAGCCACTGAGCCACCACGTCCGTCTACCTACCTACCTATCATCTGTTTCTCTATTCATCACTCTCCCTACGGTCGATCCATCCATTCGATTTATCCCTTCTTCCATCTGTCTATTTTTGTCTTCTCTAAATTTCTCCCCCATCTATCATCTATCCATCATCTACCTACCTCCTTGTTGATCCATCCATCCCTTCCCCCTATTCCTCCCTCCTTCCATCTCTCCCCTGTCTTTGTCTTATTTCTCTCAATCTCTTATCTATCCACCCATCCATCCACCTGCCTACCTACCTACCTGTTGATCCATCCATTCCCCCAATTCATCCCTTCCATCCCTTTGTGTGCTGCGTTCTCTCTGTCTCTACCTATCTTATCATCTCTTACGTCTCTCCCCATCAATCGTTTATCTCTTCTATATAAATATATATATAATTAATCCATCCAACCATCCACCCTCATACATATATATGCACCTATTGTATTTATGTTTTCTATCCATTCCATAATGCCTCCCTCCCTCCTTCCATCCGTTCCTCCATCCGTTTCTCTATTACCTGTCTAGCCATCCATACAATCATCCCTCCCCTCCTTCCCTCTATCTAGCCATCCTATCATCACCCATCTTACATCCTTCCATTATCTGTATATCTACCGTTTCCCTGAAAATATCACCTACCTTGAAAGTAAGTCCTAGCTTGATTTTTTTTAACACAGGCGCCCAATATAAGACCTCCCCCTGAAAAATAAGGGGGATTATCCCCCCTAATTATGACCCGCCCCTGATTAAGCTAGGGTGGGGACGGGGGTGGGTGGAGCCGCCCTACTACTTACCTCTGGACAACTGCAGCCAGGCCTGGCACACCCCGACTCCTGCCTGGCCGGCCCATTTCTTCTGCAGCCAGCAGGGCTGGCAAGGCTTTCCCGAAGGCCCCTGTAGTAGCTGATAACAAAGCTTTGGATCGATCCGGAGCTCAGTTTTCGGGAAAGCCTTGCCGCCTAGAGGAAAAGGACTTCCGGAAGAAGGCTGAGGGCGACACACGCAAGTGAAGGTGGTCAGTGGATGACATGCCCCCAAAATAAGAACTGGTGCCTTTCTGGGGGGGGAGGCAAAAAAAATAAAACAGGGTCTTATTTGGGGGGAAACGTGATATACACAACTGTCTGACTCACTTAACAAATGCGATGATTCATTTAACAACGGTGGCAAGGAAGTCCATCAAATGGGACAAACCTTTTTTGGCAACCATCTCAGAGCGGGAGAAATTTGCGGCTCCATTGTAGTCGTTGTGTCAAGGATTAACTGCGTTATAATGTTCAGTTAGTGACCAGCTGGTGTTTTTTTTTTGTTTAATTCAAGGCAAATTGGCAAAAAACATTAGTTCTGAACAGAAGTGAACAAAAATTTATTGTCTCCCAATTCTGAACTTTTTTCCTTTTTAAAAATCCAAACAGACTTGCAATGTGCTTTTTTGTGGGTCATAATGGTGTTTGCGAACAGTTTAACACCACCAACTCAACAACCTGCTAGACAATAGCTCTCAACTTTGGAAACTTTGAAGGCAGATGGACTTCAGTTCCCAGAATTCCTTAGTCAGCACGGGTGTCTAGGGAATTCTGGGAGTTGAAGTCCACCCATCCTAAAAGTTACCAATATTAAGAAACACTGTTCCAGAGCACTGTGGGTAATAAACACTTACAAAATCCCGACTATTATTCATATATGCAAACAAACAAGGAATATTCATTAAATCATTCCCAAATCAAATAAATCTTTTTCCTAGCAAAAGAGCAGCTGGTAGAACATTGCGAGTTCCCGAAAAACGGATTTTAATGGGAAATTCTGTCCTTATTCACACCTGGCACCAAAGTCTTCACGTGGAGCCTAAGAGCTGGAAGGAACCCAGAGGTCATGTAGTCCATCCCTGGTGCAGGACTCCATTGCTGTTTATCTACCAGCACCAGTGGTTGTTGTTCATCGTTTAATGACCCCGTAAACCCTTGCATCTAAGTGGAGTCGGGGCAAGTGAATGGAGCTGCATGTTTACTGGCTAGATGCCCTTCCTGTCGCCAATGCAGAGGTTTTTTTTAGCAGATCTACTCTCATTGTGACCAGAGAGAGAAATATCAGCCTCTGCCTAGGATCAAACTCACAGCCTCCTGATTGTGAGGCGAGGGCTCCACCACTAGGCCACCGCCCCACTCTATCCGATGCTGCAGTGAGGCTTTGGAATCTGCTGACGGCTGTTGACCGAAGAGGGTTCGATGCCTTGTTTCTCCACTGTCGCTCCTTTAAGACATGCTAGCTGGGGAATTCTGGAAGTCGGAATTCCACACAGCTTCGGAGTCGGCAGGGGCTTCTTGAAGGGGACAAATCGTGAGAGAGGTGGACTGTCTAGCATTCCCAGTCTCGGTGGCCCTTTCACGAACAGGCTCCCGTCCCGATGGCAACGGGACCCGGGACCCGGGAACCAGAGCAGCGGCGATGGGCTCAGGAGTACCCTGATTATCTCCCGACTCTTGACAGACTTGGTTAACGGTTGTGATTCGGGACAAAACCTGGGTTTTACATCCCTACAGCTCCTCACTCTGCGTAGGAGACATCAGATGATGGACATAAACCAGGTTAAGACAGATGCAAGACAGTCCCAGGGCTGCAGTCCACAAATGGGCTTTGAGCTGTTCACAATCGGGCCGTGGAAGTGGCGGGCAAGAGCAACAGCTGAATGCATGCACACACCCTCGTGCGAGTGGCGTGTGCACCCACCACTCATACGCAAACGGAGCTACGCGCGTATACTTGCTCACCACTCGTACAGAACCATACCCTCCCCTCCCTCCCCCCGTCGTGTCACAACACAGGAAAGTTTGGGGAACTCAGTCTGAAGACAAAAGTTCTCCTTCGCCGTGTCCTCCGAATGAGAAACGCACTTCTGCGGTCCAGCTCTGTGTGAAAGTTCTTGGCCTCAAGGCCCTTCCCGCTGCCCCCCCCAACGCAAGCCTGCTCTTCGTCCCACCCATAGCAGAAGTGGTGGCCGCCAAAAGGTCCTTTCTGTGCTTTCGAACTCACGTCTCGCTCCGTGCGGAAGCGCCGCCCCCATTGGTGGCTCCTCTGAGGGAAGGCGAGATATTTGGCCCGCGTAAATGTCCTGCTATAGTCGGGGCAGGCAAAGGGTCTCCTTGGGAGAAGGGCAGGAAAGTCTTATCACACTCAGGGCGCTTTGGTAGTTTCACCTTCGACATCATCCGCGGGAGACACCCAGGGTTCACCTTGGACGCTGCAGATTTACTCCGCCTCGCTGCCGTGTCCGCTCGCGTCTGCGGGGTCTTTCGCCTCCTTTTTCCCTGGGGTATGTCCTGCCAAACCGGCCTCTCCTCTCCTCCCTCCTCGCCTTCGGCCACTGGGACCCCACCGCCTGCTGGGAGGAGAGGAGAAGAGACAAACTCACCATCGAGTCAGCACTGCGATTCCCAAAAGCACGGGATACTCCGAACTTTTGGGTCCTGTCGGACAATGAAGAAGGAAAAGGACAGGGAAACGGACAAGCACTCGAACCCGAGATCAGGAGGCCCCTCCAATAACAGAAGATCCCATCTGAGACCACCCCTCAACAATTTTAGAAGCATGTGATTTGAGGGGGAGGAGTGTGGATCTCAGTGGTTGTTGATCAGCCTGAAATCCTTAATCCAATGACGGCGAACACGACAGGTGTGTCGACAGTGACATGCCATGACATTTTGGGTCACACGCTAGAGTTCACCAAGACCTACAACAACACCTATAGGTTGCCCTTGACTTACAACATTTCATTTAACGACCATTTGGCACTGGAAGAAGGGACTTGCGACCGTTTTTTGCATTTAAGACTGTTGCAGCATCCCCATGGTCACGTGGTTAAAATGCAGCCACTTGGCCACTGATTCATATTTATGACTGTTACGGTGTCCTGGGGTCACATGATCTCCTTTTGCGGCCTTCTAACCAGAAAAGTCAATGGGGAAGCCAGATCTGCTTAACAAGCTTGTGAGTTAATTTTACCGCTGCAGGGATTCACTTTACAACGGTGGCAAGAAAGGTCGTAAAATGGGGCAAACCAAATTCACATCACAAATGTCTCACTTAGCAACAGAAACATTGGGCTCAATTGCGGTCATAAGATCATAGATCAGCGGTGCCCTTCCATTTCTCTGTGTACAGGTCCTCCTCGCTTTACGACCCCAATTCGAAGCACAATTTCCTGTCGCTAAGCAAGGCAGTCTGAGTAACTTAAGAGTGACAGGGATTCACTTAATAACGGGGAAAAGATGTCGTAAAATGGAACAAAACTCACTTCACAAATGAATTGGAATGCATAACAACCGAAATGTTGGGCTTTATTGCAGTTGTACATCGACAACAACCCGGAACACAAATTTTAGACTCAGTGTGTGTGTGTGTGTGTGTGTGTGTGTGTGTGTGTGAGTGTGTGTGTGTGTAGTAATCCTTACCCAGCGACGCCACCAACTCATAAGTTTCCACCATCACAGCTTGGTAAAAGTCCCGCTGCCAGTTGGTAAGTTGCGCCCACTTGGTGGTCGTAAAGTACACAACGACGTCTTCAAAAGTCACCTACGGAAGAAGCGACAGGATGGTGAGCGGCTGGATTGGCGTTGCGACCGAATGGCATACAATTTCACATCACGATGGCGCACTGCGTCCACAGCACAGAAAAGATTGGTGGACGCATGGAGACACGGAAAGGAGGCAACACCGTCAGTCCAAACCTGGTTGAGTTTCTTCCAAATTTGGGGAAATTGATTTATTATGATTATTACAGGCCACCCTCGACTTACAACAGTTCATTCAGCAACCATTCAAAGTTAAAATAGTGCGGAAAAAAATGATGTTCAGACTGTTTTTTCGAACTTAAAGACCGTGGTCGCATTCCCAAGTGATGAAATTCAGACGCTCAGCAACGGATTCGCCTTTACGATGGCCGTAGTGTCCCGGGGTGACACGCTCCTGTTTTGCGACCGTCCGACAAGCAACGTCAATGGGGAAACCAAGATTCATGTCACCAGCGTATTGCTAGCACTTGAGGCGATTCACATACCAACAGTCGCAAAATGGGGCAAAAGACCCACTTCACTGCCTCGCTTAGCAACACATTGGTCTTAATTGCAGTCATAATTCAAGGACTACCTGTCTAGATCAATGTTTCTCGACCTTAACCAATATACAATGTCTGGATTTCAACTTCCAGAATTCTGCAGCCAAATTGGCCAGTTGGGGGAATTCTGGGAGTTGAAGTCCAGACATCTTATACATCGCCCAGGTTACGGATGAAGGAAACGAAAGGTGTCCCCCATCCAATGAAATTCTTTCATTTCTCCATCTCAGGTAGTCCTCGATTTATGACTGCAATTCGAACCAAAAATCGCCACTGTTAAGTAAGGCAGCTGCTAAGTGAGTCGGGCCTGATTTGTCCCCATTTTCCTTTGGTTGTTAAACAAATTACTAGAGTCGTTAAGAGAATCATACGGTCACTAAACAAACCTGCCTTCCCACATTCAATGTGTTTGTCAAAATCCGGTTTGTGAGGTCATAAGTGGGGATCATGGAACCTGGGATACTGCAAATGGAAATACAGGGGGTCCTTGGTTTATGACCACAATTGAGCCCCAAATTTATGTTGCAAAGTGAGTATGACCCATTTTACAACGTACTTTTCTTTTCATGGTTGTTAAGTGAATCATTGCATTCGTTAAGTGAGTCAAAAGGTGACTAAGTACATCTGGCTTCCCCACTGAGGTTGTTGGCCAGAAGGTCACAAAAGAGGATCACGTGTCCCCAGGACACCGTGACCGTCATAAGTATGAATCAGTCGACGCACTTCTGAATTTGGATCACATTAACCGTAAAGAGGTGGAACCATCGTAAGTGTGAAAATCGGTCATCAATCCCTTTGTCCAGCATCGCTGTAACTTTGAACGGTCACTAAGTGAACTCTCATGAATATGAATCAGTTGACAAGTCCAAATTTTGACCAACTGACCGTGGAAATGTGCAATGGTTGCTAAGCGTGAAAAACAGTTGCAAACATTTTTTTCAGTGCCGTCGGTACTTTGAATGGTCATTAAATGAACAGTCATTAGTTGAGGACAAGATGTACCAGCGGGTATTGTGATCATGTGACTACGGGTAACGCTGCAATGGTCGTGAGTGTGAGGACCACTTGCTTGCAAGTCTCTTTTTCTCAGTGCCTCGAAACATCATACGGTCGCTAAATGAACCCTTGTGAGGACTGGCCCTGTTGAATTTTTGCACATTCCTCTAAGGAGTCCCCACTTTACAACAATCTGTTTAGTGATGGTTTGTAGTTACGATGCCACAGAAAAAAGTAACTTAGGACTGTTTTTCACATTTACAACCGTCGCCACATCTCTGTGGTCACATGATTTAAGTTTGGATGATTGACTTTATGATGGCCGTAGGGTCTGGGGATCCCGGGATCCTCTTTTTACAACTTTCTGACGCATCAACGGGGAAGCCGGATTCACTTAACGACCGGGTAACTAATGTTAACTAGGGCAGCCTCTCACTTCCCAAACGGGGGCCGGATAAAAGCCACCAAATGGGCCGAGTGTCACTTCAGAAAGGTCTCGCTTAGCGACATAACTTTTGAGGCTCCATTGTGCTCGCACACCGAGGACGATCGGGTAAGCGAAAACCCCAACGGGAGCGACGGAGGCTTCGAGATTTCCGATCCCCCCCCCCCCAAAATGGGAAAATTCGGGGAGGGGACTTGCTCCGGCCCCACCCCTCCCCAAAAGCCTTTATCCCTCTTTCATCCCGCCATCCTTTTCTCATGCCTAAAGACCCCTCCCTTTTTTTCCTTGGGAGAGAGTGGTGAGTTCGAATCCCACCCTCTCTAAATGGGGCCATTTCTCCCAATAAACTAGAAAAAGGAAACTGTGAATTGAACCCCCCCCCAAAAAAAAACCTGGGAGGATCCAGAGGTTTAGCCCTTCAATAGGATCTCCCACTCCCCTAAATTGGAAGGGAGACCCCTCCCCTCTCTGCTTGGCTAGGGGGCTCTCTCCCTAATCTTGTGCCCCCCAAACCTCTCCCCCATTCCTTCCTTACCAAGTCTAACCCCCACCCCACCCCGCCCCCAAGAATTAGAGATGTTTGCAAAGTGGAAGGTCCTCAACAGTCTGATCCCCAAAGACCCCCACACACACCTGTGGGGGAGACCTCCTAGCGACCCCCTCCTCTTCCCTCGTAGGGCAGCCTCCCCCTCCTCCCGCCAAGGACCCTTCCACCATGGAGGGTTACTGCTGGGAAGCTGGAGGAGGGGGCCGCTCTTGCAGCCCTGGGAATGGAGGCGGTTGGTCCCTTTGCACATGCTCAGAGGCATCCTTGCCAGGAGGTCCTACCGGTATAGATGCCAAGCGCTTAGTCATCTCGGCTCGGGAAAGAAGAAGAAGAAGGAGGAGGAGGAGGAGGCGGAGGAGGAGGAGGAAGGAGAAAAAAAGGAGAAGGAACAAAAAAAAAAAGAGAAAGAAAAAGAGAAGACGAGGCCCCGCCCTCCACCTCAGAGCATGCGCACTTTCCCGCTGCCCGGGCTTGGCTCCCGGGATTAAATCTCCTCCCTTTCCAAGGAAGCAAAGCATCCTGGGAAATGTAGTTCGGAGAGAGGGGACTTTTTCCACGCAAGCTACAGGGACTTGAATCCTCCCCTATTAAAGCTTCCTGGTTGGGGGATTCTGGGAATTGGAGTCCTCCCCTCTTAAACCCTGAAGGCTGGGGGATTCTGGAAGTCCTTTCCTCTTAAAGCATGCCAGCTGGTCTAGGGGATTATGGGAACTGAAGTCCACTCTTCTTGAAGTTGCCAGAGGAACACTGCCATAATCAGATGAACCAGGACGTTAAACGAGACTAGCCCACTTTCGCTAGTCCCACCATGTTAATTTCACCTTTCGCTTCAATGTGCTAGTGACATTTTTGTCAAAAGAAATCCATTTTTCCCAAATTCAAAATTCCCGCTCTTCCGGGTTGCCCATTACACAGATAATGTCCAACTTACGTCCATTCCTGAAATGACCATTCTAAGCAAGGCCCTAAAGAAAGCCACCCTTTTTTCACACTTACGACCATCGCTTTCTCCCTGTGGTCCCTTGATCCAAATTTCAGACTTTGGGCAAATTGACTTGTTCTTACAACGCCCACAGGTGTGACAGTCAATGGGGAAGCTGGATTCACTTCTCCTTGACCCATGCCACAATTCACTTAACGACTGTGGCAAGGCAAGTCGTAAAAAGGGGGAAAACAACTCCCTTCTTGCCTGTCTCGCTTAATGACAGCCAGTTTGGGCTCAAGCATGGCCACTAAGTCAAGGATCGTATGTCATAACGACAAGGTGAATATAATAAAAGGACATTTCTTTTGCTAGTAAAACGTGATAACTTGCTTCCCACCGGTCTTGTTTAATGACAGCCATCTTGGGCTCCATCGTGGCCGTTAAGTCAAGGGCTGTCTATCATAACAGCAGGGTGAATATAATCGTGACATTTATTTTGCTGGTACAAATAAAATTCCATAATAAATGTTTTCTTTTGCCGATCGAGCCTGGATCAAGTTAAGAGAGTCTGAATAGTTTTGGGAATGAAAATGCGAATTTCCCGGAAATTAAAATTTGCGTGGAGTTTGGGCATTTTATGTTGTGATGTTTTGTGTAGTTTCTTGGCAGAAAAATGTCCGCACCGCTTTGGTTAATGACATAATCGGCTTCACGACTGCGGTGATTCACTTACCGTCCAGAATAGAAAAGGGTGGTTAAAATGGTGGTAAAACCAGCTTGAAATTGAACTTGGAAATTCGGGTCTCCATTGCGGTCATAAATCGTAATAGTTTAAAATGAGGACGACCTCTGCAAGCTGTTTCTCAGGAAAACTCCTAAAACCTCACACTTTGCATTTTTCTCCACCCCAACTCTTTTTTTTTGGGGGGGGGGGGAGAGGATGCGATTTCTTGTTTGTTGGGTGGGGGGAAAAAAAAAAACCACACAACACAAACACACCCAACACAAGAGCCGTAAAGTAGTGATTTTATCCCCATTTATTAGCTTTCATCTAAGTTGTAAAAAGGTTGCAGGAGAAAGTAACAACCACTGGCCTATCTGCGCACCGAGAGTCACAAGTACGTTTCGAGGACATTGCCAGCAGCTCTTGGGACACTTAAGGAAGCCCTGGTGGAAGTGGCCAACTTGCGCGCTCTCGAACAGGTTGCCGATTCCCGTCCAAAATTTGGTGGGCGCCCTGTTTGAGGAGGGGCGGATGGGTCACAACACGGCCTGCAGCTCACACTTCCCCCTGCTCCCCGCCTGGCGTGGGCAACGCCGTTTCCAACTCGCATGGAAATCGTGGTTAGGTGTTAAAAGCTGGGATGGTGGTATCTACAGGAGCGAATGGAGCCGTTAGGTTCATTCCGGACAAGAGAACGAGGCCACGGGGTGCTTAGATCCGGCCTACGGAGCTACCCTGGAAACAGCGAACTGCCCCACAATGCCGTCCTTGTCTGCGAACTAGCCATGAGGGCCTCCTGAAGTCCTTCGTCAGCAAACTAAGTTCGGAAAGGCTCTGCCCAGCCAGTCTGGGCTCAATTTTGGGCCACGGTGGACTCCTGCAACCGTCTGCTCCTTTTTGCTGGCAAAGAGCTGCAAGAGGCCGTCGCAGCTGAAAAGAGTCTGTGATGTGGAGGTGGCCACGTTTCCTAGTCAAATCCCCCCCAAAATCAAACACAACCCTGATGCAGCCCTCAATGAAACTGAATTTGACACCCCTGCGGTAGGCCGATGAGGTTAAATTTGACCTCTCGTCAGGTGTCAGAAACAGCCTCGTTCTCTCGTCTGGAACGAGACTAGCTGTCCCATTTGCTCCTGTAGACACCACCATATCAGTTTTCACCAGAGAAGCCCCCCTTCCCTCATTAAGGGGACCCTCCCAAGAAGCCATTGAGGTACTCCTTCAACCCACAGCCATGTTTCTGATGTCATGCATCTACAACACAGAGCACAGATGCTATTCCCGTACGGCAAGATACAGGTGGGCATTCACCCTGGGTCTTGAGACTCCTGGCAGGCTTGCCAAATGGAAGCTGAGAACTCGCATGCAAGTGGATAGGTAAATGGGCTAGCGAGAACACCAGGTAGACTCATCCCTATTTTGGGGGACAGGGGCCGTTAGTCCATCGAACTGATCCTACTCAACAGGAAACATTACCAGTTCCAGAAACCTAGTTAGGACTCCGTACACGGGAATGCCTCTGAGTTTTCCTGCTTGGACAATACGGGCAAGAGCGCGGGGTCTCCTCGCCTGGACAAGCAGCAATTCAGGGAGCACAAAGTCTTCCAAACACTGCCTAACCCTATCCATTGTTCTTGAATCAGCTCATCTCGCGTAGTCATCTTGAGCTCCTGGAGTGGACCAGACCGCCAGCTGCCCCCATTCTCAATGGAGTGGACAAAATCCATCCTTGCATGTGAACCCGGTATGGCCAGGGCACGCCCACACTGTCTTCAGACATGCGACTGGTATTCTTCTCCGATGGCTCGTTGGAAGAAATAGGTGCTGCCTCACCCACAGTGGTGGGGTGATGCCAACCACAGTTGAGCCAGCTCTGGGAAGCGAGAAGTGTCACAAGGGATAAATAGAATTTTATTTAAATAAACATATCTCAACATCTTTGTACAAATTACAAGTCCTCTGGTTCAGATCCTAGGCACCAAAGTTGGCGGAAGGGCCTTTTAGGAGATCCACCAGAATATCCAGGAGCTGGCTGTGTTGGTGGTGGAGGTCACCAGGAATGGCTGCCATCTCGTAGCAGAGGCAGGTTTCCACCATCCGGGAGAGGGCCACCCGGAAGTCACGGAGAAGCCGTATGGTGTACGAGTCGCCTTCCAAGACCAGCAGGTCGCTGTCCACCAGGGAGATAGTGGCGCGCCAGCCGTCATCTGGGGGAAAAGAAGAAAGACAGATAAAGAGATGGTACTTTAAGGACGAAAATTCTTCATATACCGTTTCCCCGAAAATAAGACCCTGTGTTATTTTTTTGCTACCAAAAAATGCACCAGGTCTTATTTTCAGGGGATGTCATCCACTGACTAACCTCAATTGCGCGTAGCACCCCAGCCTCCTGCCGGAAATCCTTCTTCTGCAGCCGGAAAGGCTTTCCTGAAGGCCTCTGTAGCTGATAACAGAGTTTTGGGTTGATCTGGAGCTTTGTTATCAGCTGCAGAGGCCTTCAGGAAAGCCTGGCCATCCTTGCCGGCGGCAGAAGAAATGGGCTGGCAAGGCAGGTGTCATGACATGCGAGGCCTGGCTACACCTGTCCAAAGATAAGTAGTAGGGGCAGTTCCACCTCCCCCACCCCCACTCCAGCTTAACTTTCACCCATGCACCCTGACGTGGGCAGGATCTTAATTAGGGCTTATTTTGGGGGGTAGGGCTTATATTGGGCACAGGTGTAAAAATCAAGCTAGGACTTACTTTCAAGGTAGGTCGTATTTTCGGGGAAACAGGGTAGTCCTCGACTTACAACAATTCAACTACTGACCGTTGCAAGTGACGACACTGAAGAAGTGACTGATGGCTGATTCGGACACTTATGACCGTTGCAACATCTTTGTGGGGACGTGATCCAAATTCTGACATCTGGCAACGCACTCATATTTATGACAGTTGCAATGTCCCTGGAGTCGCGTGATCCCTTTTGGCAGCCTTTTGACCAGCATCATCAACGGGGAAGCTGGATTCACTTGCGGATGCTGTGACTAACTGAAAATTTGCTGTGATTCCCTTAACCACCGTGGCAAGGAAAGTCATAAAAATGGGACAAAATTCACTTTGGGTTCAGAAGACCTCAGAATGGGAAACAATGGTCAATGGGAAAGCCAGATTTACTTAACAACTGTGTGACTAATGTAACAACTGCAGCGATTCACTTAACAACTGTGGCGAGAAAAGTCCTAAAATTGGGCCAAAAGTCGCTTAAGAAAAGCTGTTTCTGACACACAGGTGCAGTTGGTGAACCTCCGCAAAGTCATAACCAAATCTATGGAAACTTACGGTAGTCCTTGACTTACAACCACAAGGGAACCCAACATTTCTGTCGCTAAACAAGTCAGTGAATATTCAGTGAATTTTGCTCCATTATATGGCCACAGTTATTAAGCCAATCCCTGCACTTCAGTTTGATCACATGGTTGTTAAATGAATCGGGCTTCCCTGTTGACTCTGCTTGTCACAATGACCCTGGAATGCTGCGACCGTCGTAAATATGAGTCCGTTGCCAAGCATCCAAATTTTGACCAATCATGGCGATGCAGTAATGGCTGTAAGTGTGAAATAAGTCAATTTTTCTGGCACCGTTGTAACTTCGGTCACTAAACGAACTTGTAAGTCGACGACTACCTGTAAGTGGGAAAGAC